TGCACATGTGATGTAGGTAGTGGGATGAGACAGGAGATAGGAAGTAGACAGGATGGAAAGACCGTAACCTCCTAGTACATTATCCAATGAGGGAAAAGGGGAGGACTGTGGACAGGTTGATGGGTAAAAGGAGCTGTTTTGTGTGTTTGTACTTTGGAGAGATTCTGACAGAGCGGGCTCTCCCCGTCTATTGCAATAAATGAAGGAATCGCCTCACTCTGATGGCAGTCTTGGTTATTTAACTTGAGAAGTATTTTCACAGTTTTTTGCATAACACCCCCATCCCATTCAATGTTAAAATTTAGATTGCAAGCTCCTGGGTTGGGATATACCCTGTGAGTTTAGGCATGCTATTATTTTCTCAGTTGCCTTCTCTGCCCTCCCCACTGCATATTTGTTTGCATGTCTCACTGTTTTTCCTTTCAAGGAACTCAGGGCAGTTGATATAACTCCTCTTCCTCCTCTCAATCTTATCCTCATAGCAACAACCCTGTGAGGTAGGTTGGGACAAGAATGTGAGACTGGCCCATGGTCACTCAGTGAGCTCCATGGCAAAGTGGGGGCTAAAACTTCCTGCACTCTTAACAACTACACCACACTGGCTCTCTAATATTGGCCATGCAGACAAACATCGTCGTCGTCGTCATCATCATCATCATCATCAATAATATTCTTCATTTCAACTATAACAATTGTTCCTTTAAAAATTTAGTTTGAAATGAAACCTACATGATATAGCCAGGATGAAAGCCGTATGAGGCGAGACTGAGGGAACTGGGTCTCTTCAGCCTGGAGAAGAGGAGACTCCGAGGGGATCTGTTGGCAACAAACAAGTATGTGAGGGGGTGTCACACAGAGGTGGGTAGAGACCTGTTCTTCCCTACAGAGGAGGGCAGGATGCGCTCCAATGGAGCAAAGCTCAGGGAACCAAGGTTCAATTTGGATGCCAAGAAGTACTTCCTGACAGTTAGAACCCCAAGGGTATGGAATGGGCTTCCACGGGAGCTGGTTGAGGCCCCATCGGTGAGGGTATTCAAGGATAGACTAGACATGTACATGGTAGGCATGTCGTGAGCAGAGCTGGCTAGAGCTGGGCATCGCTCTGTTTCTATTTAACTACGTGTAAGTAGACAGCATCTACATGGCCACAGGATTTTTTTATCTTTCCACTTACAAGTAAGAAAAATTGTTCCAGCATCATAGCTGGGACTCTGCACCATCTCCCTGCTCAGAGCTGCCATGGAGAGAACCATGCCATCTGCTTCTCCAAGGCTCTAAGTGTGATCTCAGAGGTCTCTTCAGGGCATTCAAAAGGAGTAAGAGAGGAGACCAGCAGTACCAACATATAATATATCTTGGCAGGCCACAGTCTCTTTGCCTCCCTACCTGAAGTGCCACACTCAGAAAGTAAAATTTAATAATCTAACTACTTTGCAGAGCAGGAGAATGGGGCTGACCTAGGCCTTCACATTCCTCCCTTGAATAGGATGACCATAATCCTCTGAAAGATTACAGACAACCTCACTGGATTGAGCTCTTAACAGATCAACAAATTTCAGTAACTCTTATTTTTAGAAATTTAAACAATATAAGGGAAGTACTTCTTTTCTTTAAATTTTTACTAGCACTCCAATAAAAATCTACATAGTATCACATTTAAATCATATTAAGCTTCATATATTTATTTACTAAACAAAGTAAACATATTAGATTAGATCTCTGTATGGGAGCTATGGGCAATTTGTGGCCCTCAGATGTGGTTCTTATCAGCTTTAACCACATGCCAAAAGAAGTGAAAGGCTACAAGTTCGCTAGCCCTGCTGTTAGGGCATCAAAATGTTCTCTGATGCAAACTGAAAATTTTGCTGTGCAAATAACAAATTTGTGCTGAAAAATAAAATCTAATTTATTTTTTTTCTGGAAAGCCCACATTATTGTCTCTGACATATCAAGCTCTGCAATTTGTCCATTTTTAAAATTATGTATTCTCTATGACTTAGCATACTTACTTTCATTTAAAGAAAAATGCTCTGCCCCAAAATTATATGGCTTTACTTTTACAAAGTTCTCCACAGTTAATATTCAAATACTGTGCAAGCTGATTATAATGCGCAAATGTGTATAACAGCAGCATGATGCCCATTTCGAACAGCAAATGCTACTTCTGATGGGTAGAATGGAGAGCAGAGAACCAAGGAGACAAAATCCTGAAAATTGCTCAACTGTTATATTTTTCTATGGAAAATGCTAAAATTTAAAAATGTACTGATGTTTTGTAACATTAATCTACCAACCCAGTGGATACAATGCAAGTTAAATTGAATTTGGGGTCATTATCACAAATGCAGGAGATCTCTTTCATGTACTTTGAATATGCATGTGCATAGCACACATGCTCTTTCTTAGTTGAGAGAAGAAAATAAGAGATCTAGGTGCAATCTAAAGAGGATGCTCGCAGCCCTCTGTCCTTCAGGATTATGGGCATCCTGTGCAGGGTGAGAGGAGCACAGGACTAAGATCACCACTATTTGGTGTCCCTGATTTAAGGTTCCCCATCATTCTTATGATTTATTTTTGGGTAGCAAATTTATGTTTCCTTAGCCCTTGCAGTTAGCCATGTAGCCTTTTATTTGAGATTATATTAATAACTGCCCTGTGATTAATTTATAGACTATACCACAGTAATCTAATTTAGCACACAATCATTTCATCCTTTTTTAGATATAACCAGTTCTGATTTTTGGGTCTGCATGATCCTGTTAACATTTGAAGTCTTTAATAGAACTATGTAATGAGCAATTTTATACCTACCGTATTTTTCGCTCTATAAGACGCACTTTTCCCCCCCTCAAGAGTAAGGGGAAATGTCTGTGCATCTTATAGAGCGAATGTGTGTGTGCCCGACACCCGGGACGCTGCCAGCCCACCTGCACCACGTGGCACCACCTGGCTGGCACGCGCTTGGCGCGCACTGCTCCGCCCCCCCCCCCCGGCGCAGGTGAGAGCTGTGCCGCTCAGGGGGAGCAGTGAGGAGGAGGAGGAGCCGCGGGCTTTAACCCACCGGCCGCACGGAGAGACGGACTGCTCACCCCCACCGCCCGGGAAGACCTGCCGCTGCGCTACCCAGAAGACCACCGCCGGCATGCTGCCGGCCCGGCTGCACCACACCTGGCCAGCACACACTCGGCGCGCCCTGCTCCTCCCCCCTCGTCCGGCGCAGGTGAGAGCTGTTAATCACAGGTCGGTGTGTGTTTTCAAATGGCAACCCATCTTTTAATGAAGCCCATGGGGAAGTGATGGGTAATGTGCCTGTGATTATCAGGAAGTTTTCCATGGATCCCTCCTCTAAAAACTAGATGCGTCTTATGGTCAGGCGCATCTTATAGAGCGAAAAATACAGTATATATTTACTGTGGACTGAGAACTACCAGAAGTACAGGCAGGGTTTCGAAGAGGCAGAGGAACTAGAGGTTAAATTGCCACCATACACTGGATCATGGAGAAAGCTAGGGAGTTCCAGAAAAACATCTACTTCTGCTTCATTGACTATGCTAAAGCCTTTGATTGTGTAGATCACAACAAATTGTGGCAAGTTCTTAAAGAAATGGGAGTACCAGACCACTTAATTTGTCTCTTGAGAAACCTATATGCAGGTCAAGAAGCAACAGTGAGAACTGGACATGGAACCACTGATTTGTTCAAAATTGAGAAAGGAGTTCGGCAAGGCTGCATACTGTCACCCTGCCTATTTCACTTATATGCAGAGCACTTCATGAGGAAGGCAGGGCTAGATGAATCACAAGGTGGAATTAAGAGTGCCGGGAGAAATATCCACAACCTCAGATATGCAGATGCTACCACTCCAATGGCAGAAAGAGGAACTAAAGAGCCTCTTGAGGTGGGTAGAGAGTGCAAAAGTTGGCTTGAAACTCAACATTGAGAAAGCTAAGATCATGGCATCCAGTCCTATCACTTCCTGGCAAATAGATGGGAAGAAATGGAGGTAGTGACAGATTTTATTTTCCTGGGATCCAACATCACTGCAGACAGGGACTGCAGCCAAGAAATTAAAAGACGCTTGCTCTTTGGGAGGAAAACTATGGCAAATCTAGACAGCATACTAAAAAGCAGAGACATCACCCTGCCAACAAAAGTGTGTATAATCAAGGCTATGGTTTTCCCAGTTGCAATGCATGGCTGTGAAAGTTGGACCATAAGGAAGGCTGAGTACCAAACAATTGAGGCCTTTGAATTGTGGAGCTGGAGAAGACTCCTGCTAGTCCAATGGACCGCAAGGCGATCGAACCGGTCAGTCCTAGAGGAGATCAACCCTGACTGCTCCTTAGAAGGCCACATGCTGAAGATGAAACTCAAATACTTTGGCCATCTAATGAGAAGGATGGACTCACTGAAGAAGACCCTAATGCTGGGAACAATTGAAGGCAAAAGAAGAAGGGAACGGCAGAGGATGAGGTGGCTGGATGGAGTCACTGAAGCAGTTGGTGTGAGCTTAAGTGGACTCTGGGGGATGGTGGAGGACAGGAAGGCCTGGAGGAATGTTGTCCATGGGGTCGTGATGGGTCGGACATGACTATGCAACTAACAACATTTACTAAGACAGCCAAGGTATTTCACCTGAGTTGAACACACGGCTGAAAATATAAAGTCTATGGTTCATCGCATTTTATAGGCAAAACAAAAGCATAGCTGAAGAGATTCTATCTGTGACTTTTCAGATGTATGGATGCCATTTTCAATCCAGTATTCAGCAGCCTGCTGGATGTACATGTGGAAAATCCCTTTGAGGAAATTTCTTCGTTCACTTCAGTGAAAGTTCGGAACTTGGTCCAACTAAAATCAAAATTTTTGTTACGTTGCTTTAGGTGAAATAATTTATTGAAATTATTCTAATTGCAGTGGTACCTCACAAATGCTTTATTGGCTGGATTGTACTTGGCATGAAGTGGGGCATGCCCTGTGTGCACCTCAGGGTACATAGCAGGCCAACGCTTCACTTATCATGACAAATGAAGCCCTGTGACTGGAAGAGCCAACTGGAAAATGTTCTGGAGCAGGGAATGATGGATGGAGAAAGATCGCTTATTACTCTGCCTCTTAGCCTAAATTATTGGATACATTTGTTATGAAAATAAAAATGAAGAGAAATTATTATTTTCCATACTGACCCCCTTAAACACTGCAGAAAATGGTATCTTGAACAAAATTAACACAAGCCCAAATATCACTTGCCCCACTGAGTCAAGCTTTACAACTGTTTCATAATGCATACAACATCAGCCTTATGTGAGACAACGAATCAGTTTGCACACAGTGGCTGTATTCACACATAACAAGAAGCCATAGCAGGAAGGGCTTGTTGCTATGTATAAATACAGGAAGCATAGTGAAACATGGCATGTGTGCTTACTGTGAATCCCCAGAGAATCCGCAGTTTCTTCTAAAGTTTTCACATTTCAGCATTGCTTCTCATTATGTGTGAAGCCAGTTACAACATTTTCCAGTTTCCCCGTTTCTGCCACAGCAGCTCCAACCACTATTTTCTGCTGCCCTGTTTGCCTACCAACAGCTGAGTAGCCAGCAGACAGGAGGGGTGCTGACTAGCTGTCTCCACATGCCTTTTCCTCCCTTCCAGAATGTACTCCCTGAGGCCCACTAACTTGCCCATCTCACACTTCCCTGCCAGATCACCCACCACCTGGCCAGATTGCCCACCAACTTGTCAACCCTTCATTATGCCAGCTTGTCCACTTCACACATCAGACCC